CAAAACCTCTGTAGATGTTCATTGAAATGAATTAAAAAGAACAATTACAGTCTTAGGTATGCGAGTGTCCTCTAGAATCCTGTTCAGTCTGTATGCTCAGCTGTATGCAGAGCTGGATTCAGTGAAGAGGAGTACAGCATCAAGACTGGAGGAAGATTACTCAACAACCTGTGTTATGCTGATGCCAAATCTTTGCTTGCTGAAAGTGAGAAGGACATGAACTGCTTGCTGCAGAAGATCGAGGACGACAGCTTTCAGTATGGACTGCATCTCAACATCAAGAAGACAAAGATCCTCACCACGGTACCAACAACCAACATTATGATAGATGGAGAAAAGATTGAAGCTGTTCCTGATTTGCTTGGACCAACAATCAGTGCCCATAGCACCAGCAGTCCGGAAGTCAGGAGACATATTGCATTAGGCAAGTTACTGTCAGGACTTCTCCAAAATACTGACCAGCAATTATGTCACTTTGATAACTAAGCCATGTTTGATTCTTCTCAAGCACCTGCTATACATCAGAGAGCTGGACGATGCACAAACACGGCAGATGAAAAATTAATGCCTTTGAGTTGCGGTGCTGCATTAAAGTACTGAATTTTTTTTTTTCAGTTCTCACACCTTTCCATCATTAGTCCCTGCTGAAGCTGTAATCAAATGCTTGGAAGATAGGGACTCTGTATAAAGGAAAACTGCAAAGAACTCTTTGTTTTTCGTCTCTGAGGGGCAAAACACAGGCTGGCCTGTGTCCATGGGCTCTTTTTACAAAGGTCCTAATCCGACTGTTCACAGAAGCCGACAGGGAGGTCAGAAGCCCTCTCCTCATGACGCCTTCTCCTTACACAGCTCTCTCGAGGGCACGGCTGTTGCTGGGATGGTGCTCACCACCTGATTCTGAAACACGAATGTTTTGATTCTTTGAAACACGCGGAGGAAGATGAGCAGGACGCTGACATACTGGACCCAGGCAAACTTGGTCATCTCCCAGAATCCTGGCTGACAGGAAATAACCTCCACGGGGCACCGGATGACCGCATTGATCACAAACGGAGCTTCAGCGGCCCTTCCAACCAGCCGGATGGGATCAGGGTCCATGAAGATAGTGGTAACGTTCCTTCCCTGGTAAGGAGCAACAATGCGGGTGAGGCCAAGGTCATAGGTGAAAGGGCAGGTGCCATCGATCACAGAGGCTTCATAGACCACATCCAGGTCGCCTGAGCTGAGCGGCTGCCTCTGCTGCAGCTTCAGTTCTCCATTCATGTACAGCTGGGACCCGGGAATGGGGAAGGAGGACTGGAGGAAGGCCATGCTCTGTGTTACGAATGTGGAGATCCGGTGCAACTGGCAGGAGAAGGTCAGGAGGAGCTGCACGCCCAGCACATGCTCTGTGGGCTGCAGGGGCAGCTCCAGTTTAAAAGGCAATAAGTCCACTTTCCCATCTTGATTCCTGTCCTCTTCTTGGGTTGTATCAATCCATCTCATTCAGTGTCTTCCTCTTCTGCGCTGTCTGACCACCCAGGATCAAAATTACTAAATTTCTGACTGCCAAAAGAACAAAGAGCTATGTCCTAGAAAGGGTGAAACCAGAGGGCTCCTTGGAGGCAAAGATGGTGAATCTTCGACTCTCATACCTTTCCAACCTGTATGCAGAGCACATTATCCGGGATGCTGGGCTCTATGAGGAGAAGTGTGGGGTCAAGATTGATGGACGATTTATCAACAATCTGCGTTATGCAGATGACACAACCCTGCTTGCTGAAACTGAGGAGGACCTGAAGC